CTGTTGTCTGTGATGTGTCAGCAGCTGCTAGTTGCACTCCATGGTGTTTCATTCAAAAGCATCGTGGAGAACTCAAGAAGGTGGCCTCCTCTTGCCTGTGGAATAAGCAGAAGTAAATTAGCCAATGCTTCTCTGAGGCTACTGACAGCAGCACTCAGGCAAGTAAATGATTTAGTATTTTGTTGTCTATTGAGTTGATGTTGGGTTTGAGTGATGTAAGGCCAGGTTTTAAGTAGCAAGAGGATTTTTTTTGTATGCAATTTGGTATTCATTGGCATTTATACAAGGTCTGTAAGCTGCTGTCTGCTTTCCAGCATCACTGAAAGGGCTTTTCATCAAAATGGATGTTGTAGGTAAAATTTTACCTCCATCAAGCCTAAATCCATAAGCTTGAATCTTGGGATCTTTATGCATCCTCTGGTATGTGGCTGTAAGTGGAGGTACAGTGTGGCTCATCACCTAAAGTTAAGTTGCACTATGGAGTAACCAGTGATAATTCTTATTTCAAAATAACCTAAAATTGACTATACCGAATTAGACTCTACGCTCATCTAGCCTACGGGTGGGTTTCCAACAGTGGCCATAAATGCATACCTAAGGAAGAAGAAGATTGAAGTAAGTGTGTTTAATACTAATTAACTTGTGGAGATAACATACCATACTGGCACTTCTACAACAAAGGCAAGAAATTGTTTGCAACGCTGCCCAATTCCTTTGTATAGTCTGGGATCTGATTCTAGTAATACTCCATGTAGGTTTTATGCTATTACTTTAATTCAGGTCTTGCTGAATCAGAAACTTATCTATGTCCTTCATTCCATGACAGAATTTACAGCTTGAATTTGTGTATATACATATATGAAACATGAACCTCAAAACAGGTGAGCAGTGCTGAATTTAGGTAGAAAATAAGAGATTTTTCCTGACATGTTGTTTCATGAGGCCTCTTGCTCTGCCTGGACCCTGTGTCTGGTAGGCAGTGCACTGCTTAGTGGCTGCTGTATCTGCATGAAGCAGTCACTACTGCACTATCATCTGCTGCAGGGCCAGCTCATCGCTGTTTCAAGGTGGCTTCTAAGGGAAAGTGCTGTGTTTCTAATTGCCAGGAATGCAGGTGGTACATCTCTGTGTGATGGGATGGCAGTGTATGTTAGCTGGTTGAAATTCTGACATCAGCTAACATGCAGTTGCTACCCTTTCCCACATGCCTTGATCATCGCAATGGAGAGCTACTACTTCTTGTGTATAATGAATCTGTTGGGTCTTTTGGGTTGTCAGGCTTGTTTTTTGGTATTACAGCAGTATCTTGTATTTCTGTTATCCACTGTTATCCAAAGAGTTACGAAATTTTTTGGTTGATTTTGACTGATTGGTTGATTCAGACTCTGGTTTTCATCTGCTTTTGGATACTAAGGTAACAGGAAATGTATACATACTTGAAACAAGTAAATAATTTAAACAATTTTAAACCCTAGAAGTTTCTCTAAATTAAAAGAATCACAGTTATAAACTTCATATGAGCTTTAAAGTTTTATTATATATGTTTAGAAAATGCAAGTTGATTTTTTTTTTTGGGGGGAGGGATGTTGTTTGCAAAGGCCTGCAGCATGAGGATGATCCTTGAGTTGTGTGTGGTGGTGAGGCAGTGTTTGTTAGTTAGCTGTTCTTTATACACCAGCAACTGACTACACTGCCACATTAGCACATCACTGTTGAGACAGGAATATAAACACTGGTTTTATAAATGTCTCATTTGATCTTCAGCTGGTATGGAGCCCAATGCCTGCCTAGTTCTCCTGACTGAAAGGAGCTGTGCTAGGTTATGGAGACTGAGTAAACGTAGCATATAAAAATAAGTGTACTGTGTTTGACACGCTTAGGCAGCTAATCCTGACTGGTTTCTAAATAATTTCCTAAATTATGGAAGTATTAAGCAAACGTTCTGGGTTTGGGTCTTGTGAATATGTTTCTTTTACATCACTAAACATTTGCTGCAGCACTGATGTGTTGGCTCAGCAAACAAGTATTTTCTGATAATACTCAAATTAACAGGGACATGTCCAACCAATGACTGAAATGGGTTTAGAATATTTGCACTCTCAGGCAGATTTTTGGAAAGCAGAGCTGAGAGTTAACTACTATCTGTTGGAGATAACAAGGGTATGTCAGACTTAAGGAAATGAGGGAAGCATGGATAGGAATGAAGTGCTAGGATGAAGATGCAGTAGGTTATGTTCAAATGGAACTGAAGAAACACTAACTTTCATGGACTGAACTCTGTTAAACTTCTTAAAAGGCAAGTTTTGTCTTAAATTGGTGGAATTACTTAAGAATCCATTAAATAGGTTTTAATCTGTAGTGTTTGTAGTTTAGTATTTTTATATGCTATATAGTACACAAAGTAAGTAGATATTTATACAAACATATTATTACTTTGTTGGCTTTTGACTATAGATAAATGTATACTTGTATAACAGTGTAATAACTTAAATTGTATTTATTTATCTTTTCAAGTCTGTGTAGATTTAGCAGTTAAAGATGCTTTATTTTTACCCTGGATAGCTGGTAACTTGGTTTTAAGAGAGAAGTGATTAATTTATTAATGATCTGCCCTAAATACTACATCAGAAGAGCCCGTCTCCTGAACAATAAGTAATACAAATATACTGAGTTTTTGGAGGAAGGTTTATTGACAATAAACTTTGAAAAACTTAAACTCTGTGCAGATTCAGGACTGAATGGTACCTATATTTAAATTTCCACAGAAGATGGTTGTAGAGGAGTGTGACCAAACAGTGAAGAAAGAAATTCAATTACTATTTTCTCAGGCAAAACTTTCTTTTTCTAGGCATCTGAAACAAAAGTAATGCAGGAAGCAATGAGTTAAATCTTTCTATCCAGGCATTTACTAATATCCTATGCTAGTTCTGAATACCAGGAAAGATATTTATCTTAGCGCTGGCATTGAGTTATTGAAGATTACCGTATATCCTGTAAACAGAAGATGAGCTTCAGTGAGTGTATCAGAAGCAACGTGTGCACATTGCCTTCCCTTGTGATCCCTTCCAAACTAGAAGGTGATACTGCACAGTTTTTCATTCACAGGGTATTTAAGGAACTTGAGTGAAATTTCCCATATGCCGAGTAATTCTCAGGCAGTATCAGGACTAAAATAGATTTATTTCAGGTGTTCCACTAACAGCACCCAACATTTCTTTATACCTACACTTTTTTATTCAGAGATACCAAAATCAGGGAGCTATAGTGGTGCACATGAATGGACATGCATGTTTTAGTCATGTACAGTTTCAAGTCAAGGTATCATCCAACATTTATGGGAAAAACATTGTGTCTTGCCGCTTGTATGGAATCTCAACTGCTCCCACTAAAGTAGAGGATCCATATCTAAAATCCCTTCCCCCTCTATCAAAGTAACAGGAACACATAAGAAAAATCACCTGACATGTTCTACTAAGTATTTTCAAGGCTGGAACTGTACATCTATAGGCAGACTGGAGTAAAACACAGGACCTCAGCATAAGAACAGGAACTGACTTGATGGACTAGATGTAGAATCTTGTGGGCTAATGGCAAACAGCTCAGAGGCTGGTCTGAAACACCAGCAGTAGACACATTTGGGCTAACTAGACCTTTACATAGGCCTTAATTGATCTCTGAATGTTAGAGTGGCTGAAATTCTCATGTGTAAGGTTTGACTTCCCTTCCAAAATGATGGCCATAATTATAGAGGGTGACTTCGTTTAATCCTTCACATCATTATAATTACTCAATCTTTTACAATCTTTCTATGTCTTTATCCTTCAGGGGTTTTCCATGAAATTCATACTTAATTCCATAGATTAATAAAGAAATACTTTTTTTAAAAATTGCCATTTTACTGTCCCACCTTTTAATACAGTTAAGTGGCTACCATTACTGGAAAATGTTTAGAAGCACTGCAGGTAGTTTGAATTACTGCTAGTCTTACAACAGGAAAGCACTAATGCTTCCAGTCCTTTTTCCTATAGAAAACGCTTCTGAGATGCTGTTTTCTGTCATTTCTGTTCTCTCAGCCCTCCATTAAGACTTGGACAGCTGGAATGAAGTTCTTTATTCCACTTTACCATCTCCCTTCATCAAACAGATAAACCAACACACCTGGCAGTTTGCAGTAGAGCAGTGGGCCAGAACTGAAAGTGGTTTTTCAGTTAAATGCAGGACTGGGGAGACTGGGAAATAAAAATGGGGCTCGAGGCATGAACCTTCACCCCCTTCTACCTCTACTTGAAAACTGTTGTTTTATTCCAGAGATGCAAGGTAGATGGCTAGGGAGCATTGTCTTGGACTGTCTCAGAAATATGTTAGTTAGAATGCCAGGCTGTTGATTTTTGTTGTCCCTCAAATCCTGCTGTAAGTAACCATGTATATTCACACAGGCCCTGCCTTTGTCCAGGTCAGAAGGCTCAGAATCCAGCAGGAGATGAGCTCGCAGCTGTGCTGCAGTGCAAATGTATGCAGAGAGCTAAAGAGGTTAAACTTGTTGCTGTAAAAGTGAAATGTAAAATTAATCAAAATACACAGCAGGCAAGGAAACATTATAGCAGTTTTTTTTTCTTCTAATAATTTTATTTCCTATGTACAGTTTTTTACAACTAAGTCGACAGCTTCACAATTCAGTAATCTTCCCTTGGAACACATTGCAAAGCTGGTATCTTCAGTTGCATTTGTCTGTAAAATGCCTGGCATGATGTTTCTGGGCCCCATGTCTTTCAGGGCAATTCTGCGCTAAGGAAATATCCCATTGTATGTGTTACTGGTAGATGGGAAACAAACTCATTTGTGCAAATACTGAGTAATTTATCAAAAAATTATCTTCAACTATCTCCCTGCTTGTCATAATTGTAATTAGCTATTGTAAGCAATTTAAAGAAACATTCAGAAACTTTACAGAAATTGAAGGTTTGTCCATGCAAGGTATTGAGCACCTTGCCATTCTCAGTAACCTCAGTGGTTCTCAAGGCCTGTGCAGGAGCCAGTCCAAATTTAACAGACATAGTGTAGCTGAAAATACAAGCACCAAATAGAAGTAAAATCTCCTGATGGTTTAGCTTCTAGCAGCATTTCCCAGGAATGTAGTAAGGCTGTGCTCACACTGTTGAACAGATTCACAGTGTGAGTGGTCTTTTTCAGAGGTCTTCTCTTTTTTTCATTATAATCTGCCTGATTAATGATGCTACTTCTGGCCTGATACTTTCTATGGGCTCTTCTGGTCTCCAGAATTTCACAACTTTACCCTCAGGGTTGACAAGGTACTTCCAGAAATTCCATCGAGGCTCTTTCTTTGAAGAATCTGTAAAAATGGCATCAGATCATTTTAGTGAGTTACACCTGTCATTGTTTCATTCACTTGCAGTGATTCTTCAACTATTTCTGTTCAAGTAATCCCACTTTGTTCTTTGCTAGTAGTCTGGGGATAGATTTACTGGTTGGTGTTAATGATCTGAAAAGTGGAAAGTGGATTATGCTCTTCCCTTCTTGTGAAACTGTTTAAGGGTTCCTACTTTTAGTGTATTCTGCTTTCTATGAAGATGGATCTGAGAGCAACATACTCATTTGGGGAATCCAAGATTTTATGATGTCAGTTGAAGGGAAGTGAAATGGGGGCGGGAAGTCATACTGGTCATGGCTTAATTCGGCTCCTTTCATCCCACAGGCAAAACCTTGCCATTATCTTTGCCATCAGGAATACCTGGCAAGGTAACTTCCATAATCAAGTGGCTATCAGGAAACTGTGTGGCTACTAGAGGAGGGAGAAGCAGCTTCTTGACTCTGGCTTTGTCCTTGGAGAGTCTAACAGGTTAAGAGGGAAACAGCTTTTTGAGAGAACTAGAAGAAAACTCCAGAAGATTTTGACTGGGTAACAAGTGTCTAGTGGGGAAAAGTACTTAGCCCTACACTGCTTTTTGGAAGCAATGGGTTTAATTTTGCCACTGGACTGCATTTGTAATGCCATGCTGTAAGGGGACACCACAGCAAGGAAATGGGAATGGTAAAGCTCAAGTTGTGGAGACTCTGACCCAGCTAGTAATTAAATCTTTGCTGAGGTGTTGTGTGGAGGGTCAGCCATGAAGTAGTATAGTCCCAGCTCAATATTATTCTAGTGCTCATCGATACATATGAATAGCTTGTACAAAGTACAAAGACATAGGAAGCTGGACATTATTTGAGGAAACATGAGGCCACAAACCTTATGCTGGCCCAAGAAAATGCCCTACTGTTATAAAAGCAACAGGAAACAGTTGTGTAAAGGCTTTGACACCATATTTGTACTGCTGATGGATTCTTTTTGCACTAGACTAACTGCTGGACAAATTCTACCTAGCAGACACAGTCAAAAGGGAGTTGAAGATGTTCAACCTTTGATTGTCTACATGAAGCAAACAGGTCCTTCTGTAATTGAAGCTGCACAGTAATTTCATGTGAAGCAGCAGAGTGCAGAAAAATAACAATTATTTAATAATTATTTAAATAATTTAAAAATTATTTACATTTAAATAATTTTTATTTTTTAAAAATACTTATTTAAAAATATTTAGGTACCAGAGGATCTTTCTCCTGCTTCTGGGTGAACATGAGTTTACATAAGAACCAAATGAATATAGCTATTCTGTTTCTGTATAGGTATTAATTTGCACTGCTATTTGGAATCCGGATTCATACCACCCTGCTGGTACCTATGTGCTCAATTTCCATCTATAACTTCTGAACTGAGAGGCACCTCCAGAGTGCATTCAGTAATTCCACTGGACATCAGGCAACTCAGAGCAGCGAGGCTTTACCTGAGGCCTTTGGTGACATGCCTAAGGGGAGGTAGGAAGAAACACAGTTACAGTGACAATGGTGACCACTTAAATGACTCCTAAATAATAATTATTTTCATGTATATTAGAGGTATCACAGACAATACTGCAACAAACAAGTACTGTAAGAAAGATTTAATTTAGGTGTTTGAAAAGCTTTCTAACAAGGCATTGTGAAGAACTGGAATAGACCAGGAGGTTTTGGAATCTCACACTGTTAACAGTCTGAAAAAGGCTGTACAGTACTGATTTGGGTGAATGTGACCCTGTCTTGGGGCATGGAGATGGAATTCAGGCTTGGGCCTTCTCTTACCTCATTTTCTAGTTAAAAAGAAATGATAGAGAAGGGTTATGTTCTAATAATCTTTTCTTTCATTTATCGTGTTTAGTATGGGTCAAAGACCTGGCCAAAGCTCAGGAAAATTCAGAGAAGCTTTTAAATTTGCTTTGGATCTGTTGGCTCTTTGGTCATCTGAAGAAGAGTTTCAGTTTGCTTGTGACAGTATGAGGTTCTTAAGTCAGTAAATGCCTACTGTCAACAGAGTATTTGTGTGAGTTGGTTTTGCACGCCAGGCCCTGAAGTTAACAGGACAAATTAATGCAAAGGAGTGTTTATATACAACTACATTATGTATCATTCTGCTTTACAATATAGTTTATATCAAGATAGAATATGACTGCTAACACAGGAATCTTCTTATCTGCATATGTTTATGAACAATCTTCCAGTATTTTTAAGATCTCACATAGTTACATTTTTGTCTGTAAGAAAAGATGATTTTCAAGAAAAGTCACATAATTTTAAGTGGGATTTTGTAGGTGAGAGTCTGCACTTAAGTTTATACACCCATGAAATGGATGCTTCTAGCTGGATTGGTCACAGGAGGCTGCTTTTATAAACAATGGTAAGAAATCAGTGCTTTCAGGATACAGCTCTTCAGACCGTATTTTTTATATCCACATTGAAACAAGATTAATTGTATGCTTAATGCCTGTTCTTCTCCACAGACTATGAAGACCATAACATTTCCTAACAAACAAACTCAGACTAGAATTTAGGGAGAATACTATAGTTACAGACTGCTTGATATATAAAAGAAAACAGTTACCTATTAGAAATTTAAAGGCAGGCTCTGCTTCTGATCCTAGAATCTTGATTTTGTGGAAAACAGGGAAGGTTACTCCATAGTTTCCTCTGGCAAAAGATTCTATTTCCTGGCTTGAACTAGGCTCTGATTCTCCAAACTGGTTGCAAGGAAAAGCCAGCACAGTGAAGTGGGAGGGACCAAACTCTCTGTGTAGTTCCTGCAGTGCGATGTAATTTTTGTCTGTATGTTGGCAGTAACTGGCCACGTTTACAACCAAAGTTGCCTTCAGAAAAATAAAGTTATAATAGTAAGAAAAAATACTCGAGGTGGCATAGAGATTACAATTAAGTCCTAAAATGGCATCTCCCACTACCACAATTATTCCTGCCTGAAGGCTAAACTTGATCTGATTATATATTTTCTTAAACAGATATGGACGATAGTAGCTTAAGACAATTACTTTCAGACAACCTGTTTCACAAATAAAATAAATGGATAAACTTAAGCTTACAGCTTTGTTTAAAAATAAGCATGTAAAAAAGCAGGTATTGAGGACAGGCTCTAAAATAATATTTACTAGATCAGCTTCCAGAAATCCAACACAAGATGCTACGATTCACAAGTCAGATTAAAATGCACAGATTGTACTGTTAGGCTGTACTGATTTAAAACGAAGAAAATGAAAAAAACATGTTTCTTGATTTATTAGATCTAGTATTTAATTTCTGAAGCAGGCCTAGAAAAAGTAAATTTCTCTCCGGCTTACTATTTGAAAAACAGGAATTAGCACAAATCTCTACTGAAAATTCCCGTAACAATTTTTTTGGTTTACCTACAAGGGACACCCGTTTTTCAGTAAAGATTTGAGACAAAGATAAAATGGATGGTAACTTACTTTCCCTCTGTACTTCTCCAAGGAAACGGTCCTTCCTCGTGAATCCTTGACTTCAAAAGAATAAAAATCTTTGAATTTATGTTTAAAAAATCTGAGTTGCAGCAGGCAGAGGATGGCGGTGCACAAAAGCATCGACAGGAAGACAACGAAGACCCTGGCTTTGGGCACTGAGTATTTCAGAGGATAAGTAGCTGTGAGAGGCTCCATTTTCGAAATCTTGGGAAAGGAGCCTAGGCAGGCCTGGAATGCGGAGGAGGAGCTGAAACACGAGACTCGGAGCTCGCACGGGAAGAGCCAGCAGCTCATTCCGTGAGCGCTGCAGAAGCGGCTGTTGGATCCGCAGCGCCTCTGCTGGGCTTCGGAGCTCTTGTGTGACGTACAGACATCTCTGTCAGGAGGGGGGCGGAAATAAAACGTTTTCCTATCACCTAGGGAGCGGATTGCTCTGTTTTAAGTGACCTGCATAGGATACTTCAGTGTTTGCACAGTGTCTTGAGAGGGGTGTGTCCTGCGGGTGTGCCCCGCCGGTGTCCCTGGCAGAGCTGTTCAGCCCGCACCGCTGCTGCCAGGCAGACCTGCAGCAGCAGTTCGGGGCCAGAGCTTTAGGTAGAACGGGGGGACACACAATATGGCAGAAGCCACCCCATTTTTACAGGTTTTGTTCTGCCTTTGGTCAGCAAAGCTTGGGGAGCAGCTTTGTAAAGCTCCAGCATGTAGGGCAGAGGAAAACGTGTTTATAGGCTGACACAGGTGAAGAGTTTTTTGTTGTTAATGGAAGGCATGGGTGATGATGGAAAATAAGTTCCTATTTTTATTGCTGCTAGCTAATTGGCAGTTAGCTTTGCTGAAATGAGAAGATGGAAGGTGTGCATGAGAGAAGAATGAGCTAAGTGAGGATCTCTGGTCTGAGCCTGGCACCTCAAGTGGTGTTTTGCTGATGCAGTTGTGAAAGCCACTCTGAACTTCAGAGCCACCAAGTCTGGTGTCTTACCTGTCTTCATTTTGTTGTTCTGTGTTTTAAAGATATTTGCCTGTCACTTTTGGTTTCTGAAGGTACATCAGCATGTAATGGTTACAAATCACTCAGTGGAAAAAAAAAGTTTACTGTCCTTTTTTCATGTTTTGCCTTGCTCAGTTCTTCTCACTTTCTCTCCACTTGCTATTCACTGTTTTCCTCTAGTCTTTCAGAATTTTGTCTTCCTCACATTTCTGTTCTTGGGCTTTTCTGAGCTATTACTTGTCTTTCAGCCCATGTTGCTTGTTAAGTTTCTGCTAACTCTCTATTCCTTACAGTCCAAACCACCATTGCATAGTGATTTCTGTCTCACAGGTTTTTTATTACTCTGATTTTTTTTCTGCCCTTATTTTGAACTATGATAATTGAATGGGACTTTCTGAAGGTAAAACCTGGACTCTAGAGCTCTGTTGCTTTTCAGTGACTTTGATACCACCTAAACTAGCGTTGATTTTTACAGTGTCATAGTGGTATGTTCAGCTATTTCTAGAATGTTCTCTAACAGCTATGGTCCATGTTAATTTTGTTTAACAAGACTGTATAGAGAATTTCACACAGTACTGCACAACTGAGAGATGCTTTGGAGATACTGTGAGATTTCAGTATTTTTATGGGTGCTTCCTCTGATCTGAGGACACGTGAGGCTTGATCTCTGCCTGGCAGTGAGGCCTGTCAGCATGATCTTTTGGTGGTGGGGACAGAAGAGGCACAGGCTTCTGTGCTGAAATGAGCAAACCTGTACTTAACAAGCAAACACAGATGTCTAATACTGCCTTAAAAGCATGTTTGAATGGGTTTGATTTCAGAAAAGCCATACAAAATCCTTATGTCTATGTTGTGTGTCAACAGCTTGTAATTTGCATCTAATATTATTTCAGAAATAAATAATAACAATTCTCAATATGTTCTAAGTATTTACTGGAGTACCTAATAATGATCCAGAAGCCTATTATATTTGCTGTGCTTCCTTACTACTGTTACTTTCTCTGTTTTCCCTAAAACATTACTTGAAAGCTATCTGAAAAAAAATTAGTATTCACTATTACCTAGACTTTTATATTTGAAATCTTGATACATTCTTGTGTTTTATGTTTTTCTGACACAAAGTGCTCTATGAATGTACTTGAAAATAAGAAATAAAAATTTGCCTGTATCTTAATGCATTAGAAAGTGTAGATAATATACAAAATAATAACATGAGCAAGCCACAGCTGTGATTAGAAGATTCAGAAATCAAAAGTGAGCTAAGTGCTTCTTTGTGTGAAGATCAGAAAACAAACACGGTTCCAGACAGCCAGCACGTGGGTTTTCCCAAGTGCCCATCTCTCAGGAAAGACCAGACCCAGGATCCTGTGCTAAATGTCTGGAGATGCCTCGGGTCAGCCAAAGGCCAGCACCATAGCCTAGTGTGTGAGTGACATAAGTTTATTTTTTTTCTCTGCCACAGGCTTTTTGTGTGACAGTTCCTTAAGGGGTACTTCTCTGACCAGAATAATTTGTTTCCTGCTGTTTTTTCCACCCTCACTGTCTCCCCCCAGGTGCGTGATGCTGTCACACCTTCAAACCCAACATCCCTTTCCATGGCTGCTGCTCTCGGGCGGGCTGAGCCCGTGCGGCGTGGCAGAGGAAGAGCTAAAACAGCGTGAAGGGACAGCGTGGTACCAAGTCACGCCTAACCGTGGTGTTGTGTCTGTGTTCCCTGTGCAGGCTGCAGGCGCAGAGAGGATCACCTACTCCAAGTTCAGGAGCTCCATTAGGAGGAGGCTGTGGGCGCGGGCGGTGGCGAGCAGCCCGGCGCTGGCAGGATGGCAGCGGCTGCAGGCAGAGCCGCACGGGGCCTCCGCGTCAGGTCAGACAGGGTGCCAGGGAAGGCCTTCCTGTCGAGGGTGGCCTCGTGGAGGGGCTTCTGAACTCAGCCGGAGCGGGGAGTCGGTGTAAGGTGCGGGCGGTGCGGCCTCCTGTCCCGCTGCCGGGCGCTGGGCCGCCTGCAGCAGCAGCCAGGGCAGGCGGAGGGGCAGCAGGGCTGGGGCTGCCCCTCACCGTGTGCAGGCCGCGTGTGACAGCAGTCGTGCAGACAGTGGGCATGGAGAGCAGGCTGAAAGGAAGGGGAGGACAGGAGGTGTCATCTCCAGCTGAGCAGTGCCTATTGCAGGCCGGTCTTTTTTTCCTGTATGATGGGAGCTGGGCTGGACTGAGCTTAAGTTGCACTGGGCTGTAGCAGTGCACGGGGTTTGTTGCTGCACCTTCGCATTTGGAATAGATAACAATAACTGAGGAGAGCAGGAGAATTCATACAGGCCTCTCTTCTTCGCTGTCTTCTGCTTCCCCTTTGCCTTACACACCCCTGCTGCAGACCTGGCTGTAAGTGCAGAACTAGGACCAGTCTGCATGCCTGGGTGTTGTATGTATGCTCGTGGAGGGAGAGATCTGCCTTATGTTACTGTCTCTCCTCCAATGTGTAGGGCTTCTGGTGTTGACAAAGGGACAGCAGCCACGGGACACTCAGGGACTTAATGAGCACTATTCACAGCACTGAGCAAACAAACCTTCAGTACCCAGACTTGATCTGGAGAACTGACTCTAGGGAAGGCTGTTTCTCTCCATCAACGACAGAGGGAGCTGAGGAACGGTTAAATGAGCCTCTGAGCTCGCTGAGCTGCCTAGAACATACGGGGGTCTAAAAAAAGGCTTATTTATTGATTAATAAATGAAATATTTCGAGAACAAATAAAACATGCTGCTTAGTGTTCACGATGTGTTCCTATGATGCCATGGCTGTTGGTCAGAAAGTGCAATTCTGTCTTCTGCTAAGTGGAATACCAGAGCTATTAAAATAACACATTCCCAGCTGCAGGAAACTCAGGTTCTAAAACAAGGTGAAATCTTCCCTACTTCAGCTTCTAGAACAGAAAGTCCTGCATATTGTCTCTACTAGCAGTGGTGAAAGCCTCTATGGTTCTGGGAAATACCAGGTATTGATTTCCTATGGAGTAGGATGCTGTATAACCAGTCAATAAATCTAAGGCTGGATGTGGGCTACAGTAGTAGATAAGCACATTTTACAAAGGGACTTATCAATCTGACCTTTTTTAGACATTCCTTTTAGGGTAAGATTCATAGTGCTGTAGAAATAAAGTGGGGCGACTAGTTCAAGTGTTGGTAGTGTGTCAGATCTGCTTTTAGAGTACTGCTACTACAAAATCAGTGCTATTCTGGAAAGCTGACAAATACTCCCGTGTATGGTTTTTAAAGGTATTATTTCCATTAAAATTGTTTTTCCAGTGACAACTCGGGAGCCCAAGAAACTCTCCATCACAAAAACTGTTGTGACTCTACCTAGCAGTCATGCTGCAGCAGGCTTGGAATGGAGACATAACAGAGACAGCAAGAGAACTGAAATGAAAAGGGAGCAGGTGAGTAATGCAACATTCAAAGACACAGCTAGGGTATTTGCTTTCCCAATGTGTTTTTTCCTTTATCTTTGGCCTGGAATCTGTTATGTGAATGCTACCTTATTGACAAATGGGTGAAAAGAGAAGGTCTGTTTAGGAAATGTCAGTTAGAGAAATGGGAGGAGAAGTTGCTTTATCATTTGATTCATCTCTCTACTTCCTCCAGGCTATCGTCCTGCAAACTAAAATTGAAACCAAGCTGATGAAGCCCTCAATATACCTCTGAGGGCAAACTTACATTGTAAGAAATATGCATGAAAATAATGAATGACTCAGTTTTCCACTTGCTTTAATAATCACTGTGTGTGAAGAAGACAATTTCTTCAGTTGTGCAGGATGTTCATTTTGTCACGTAGACAGCATGAGATGCTATTAAAAGTTTGCTTAAAAATAGCTCTCTGAGAGTAAGGGGTTTTTTTGTGATAATAGAAGTTCAGATTCTTGGCCAGGAGTGAAAGAACACGTTGAATCAATCTGTCTAACATGTGAAACAAGGACTTCTGATAACTTTCCATTTAGCTGTTGTTCTGTATTTCTGATAACTTCCCATTTAGCTGTTGTTCTATATTGTTGTATACTTTATCCTTTCATTTTTCGTAGTGGATACTGACACACCATTTTTCTTTTTAGGCATTACCTATTTATTTTTGGTCATCTTCAAGAAACCTACGCACCAACCACTCACCTGTTTCTGTTCACGAGCTTATTGAAAATTCATTTGTCAAGTGAAGCATGATGATACTTGTCTGTGTTAGTAAAAGTTATTAACATGACGTTACACTCAAAATCACCTCTCTGTTTTAGTACTGTCTAATTGTGACTATGAATCTATTAAATTGTACATGTTTAGTCAGTGACCATTCTTTTTCTTGTTCTCTCCTTTTCTTGATTGAACTAGTTGCAAGGTCAGTACTGAAAATGCTGATAGCTGTTTTCATGTGATTAATTTTTTGACTACAACTTGCAGAAGGTTGCTTCAGGTTGCCTCAGAGATGCGTACTCAAGGTCCTTGTTTATAGTGATTTATAATCCTTAATACTATTTAGAAGTTTATCTGAGGGTGTCAAGCTCAACTCCTAAGAAAAAGAGGTTGTGTCAGGAATAATTGCATGTTGAAAGTCGTTGAGTGTTGGAAAAAGACCATGCTTTTACATCATTCTGGGAAACCTGGTCCTTGGGGCAATCATTTCCTTTCTTGATAACCAAAACAGTTTAAGAAAGCCTTCTTTTCAACAGCAATGTTTTCTTCCTTCCCACCTTCTTTCATGATCTGATTGAAGAGTCTGTGAATTGTTCAAATACACAACACAGTGCATTTAGTAATCTTTGTTGAAACTACCCCACAGGGAAATTTAATAAGACTTTGTTTGTTTGTTTGTTGTTTTTTTGTTGCTGTTGTTTTTTGTTGTTGTTTTGTGAGATGATAAGAACTTTCTGTGAAGTAAGAAGATCTTCTTTCTGTGAAGATCTCATTGCTTAGAGCCCTGTGTTTCCAGCGATGGGACACCTACCTCTCTGGGCAACCTCACTCTCATTGTAAAAAATGTGTTCCTTATATCGAAGGTCTGTTTAGGAAATGTCAGTTAGAGAAATGGGAGGAGAAGTTGCTTTATCATTTGATTCATCTCTCTACTTCCTCCAGGCTATCGTCCTGCAAACTAAAATTGAAACCAAGCTGATGAAGCCCTCAATATACCTCTGAGGGCAAACTTACATTGTAAGAAATATGCATGAAAATAATGAATGACTCAGTTTTCCACTTGCTTTAATAATCACTGTGTGTGAAGAAGACAATTTCTTCAGTTGTGCAGGATGTTCATTTTGTCACGTAGACAGCATGAGATGCTATTAAAAGTTTGCTTAAAAATAGCTCTCTGAGAGTAAGGGGTTTTTTTGTGATAATAGAAGTTCAGATTCTTGGCCAGGAGTGAAAGAACACGTTGAATCAATCTGTCTAACATGTGAAACAAGGACTTCTGATAACTTTCCATTTAGCTGTTGTTCTGTATTTCTGATAACTTCCCATTTAGCTGTTGTTCTATATTGTTGTATACTTTATCCTTTCATTTTTCGTAGTGGATACTGACACACCATTTTTCTTTTTAGGCATTACCTATTTATTTTTGGTCATCTTCAAGAAACCTACGCACCAACCACTCACCTGTTTCTGTTCACGAGCTTATTGAAAATTCATTTGTCAAGTGAAGCATGATGATACTTGTCTGTGTTAGTAAAAGTTATTAACATGACGTTACACTCAAAATCACCTCTCTGTTTTAGTACTGTCTAATTGTGACTATGAATCTATTAAATTGTACATGTTTAGTCAGTGACCATTCTTTTTCTTGTTCTCTCCTTTTCTTGATTGAACTAGTTGCAAGGTCAGTACTGAAAATGCTGATAGCTGTTTTCATGTGATTAATTTTTTGACTACAACTTGCAGAAGGTTGCTTCAGGTTGCCTCAGAGATGCGTACTCAAGGTCCTTGTTTATAGTGATTTATAATCCTTAATACTATTTAGAAGTTTATCTGAGGGTGTCAAGCTCAACTCCTAAGAAAAAGAGGTTGTGTCAGGAATAATTGCATGTTGAAAGTCGTTGAGTGTTGGAAAAAGACCATGCTTTTACATCATTCTGGGAAACCTGGTCCTTGGGGCAATCATTTCCTTTCTTGATAACCAAAACAGTTTAAGAAAGCCTTCTTTTCAACAGCAATGTTTTCTTCCTTCCCACCTTCTTTCATGATCTGATTGAAGAGTCTGTGAATTGTTCAAATACACAACACAGTGCATTTAGTAATCTTTGTTGAAACTACCCCACAGGGAAATTTAATAAGACTTTGTTTGTTTGTTTGTTGTTTTTTTGTTGCTGTTGTTTTTTGTTGTTGTTTTGTGAGATGATAAGAACTTTCTGTGAAGTAAGAAGATCTTCTTTCTGTGAAGATCTCATTGCTTAGAGCCCTGTGTTTCCAGCGATGGGACACCTACCTCTCTGGGCAACCTCACTCTCATTGTAAAAAATGTGTTCCTTATATCTAGTCTGAATCTACTCTCTTTTAGTTTAAAACCTCTTGTCCTGTTGCTGCATGCTCTGTTAAAAAGTCTGTCCTATCTTTCTTATAAGACCCCTTTAAATTTTGAAATGCTGTAGTAAGGTCTCCTTAGAGCCTTCTATTCTCCAGGCTGAGCAACCCCAACTCTTTCAGCCTTTCCTCATAGCTTTCCTTGCAGAAGAGGTGTTCTAGCCCTCCGATCACTTTTGTTGCCCTCCTCTGGAGCCATTCCTATGGGTCCATGGCTTTCTTCTACTGAGGACTCCAGAGCTGGACACAGTACTCCAGGTGGGGTCTCATGCAAGCAGAGTGGAGGGGCAGAATCACCTCCCTCAACCTGCTGGCCACCCTTCTCTTGATGCATTCCAGGATACAATGGGCTTTCTGGGCTGTAGTGCACATAGCCAGCTCGTGGCCAGCTTTTAAGCCACCAGTACCCCTAAGTCCTTACTGGCAGGGCTCTCAATCCCTTCAACCCTCAGATGCAGGACCTTGCGCTTGGCCTTGTTGAACTTTATAAGGTTCACGTGGGCCCACTTCTTGAGCTTGTCCAGGTCCCTCTAAATGACATCTCATCCCTCAGGTATGTCAACCACACTACTCAGCTTGATGTCATCTGCAAATTTGCTGAGAGGGTCTTGATCCCACTGTCTGTATCGTTGATGAAGATACTAAACAGTGCTGGTCACAATATGAACCATGTGTCAGTCTCACATATGTCAGTTTTTCATCTCTACAGTGAAGTGACTTAACCTAGAATTACACTGTGATATACAAGCAGGAGTTGAATTAGAACTAAGGTATTTAGAACTCTACGTGGAGGACTGCAACCGTTTCCCAGAAGTGTGGTGTGGAGGTCTTTGTGACAACATTGTGGGGTGATAAAAAATCAAGCTCTTCCTAAAACCATTTGGAAGTCAGTCTTGGCTAAAACCGTATGAAAATCTGTTTTACTCTCTTGGTATAGCAATTAATCACTATTCAATTTGTGCTACCTGGTACCATAAAAGGATGGGATGCACTTAAAATATCATCTCACATTCCAGTGATTGTGTGTGGTCTCTGTGGGCCAGAAGATTACTTCCTTGTATACACAATTGGTTTTCCACATAAATGTCTGCATTTATTTTAGAGGGACACAGATCCAAGCAATCTGATTAGCTTTCTGCCAAGTTGTCTGTGTAAATCATACAGAAAGTGCCTGAAGGCCTGCTGTAGAACAGCTGGGTTGTATAAAGGAAAAATACTTTTTTTCCCAGCTGTTTTTGTAAGTCATTTGTTATAATGATTGTAACAGAATTCTGAAGAAGAATAACACTGAATGTGCTTGGAAGAATAGATTTCACAGACATTGGAGGAAGAACATACTAATCTTGAGTGGCTGGTAATAACATCAGCTGCATTTCCACCTGACTGTAAATAAAGAATTACAACCCAAACAGACAGTTGACATCAGAGCATTCAACTCAGTGAATGTTGTGAAGAAATACATATTACTAGGGACTGGTGAAGAGATTAATTTGTGTGAGCTGATATGAGGCTTTTCCTGAATCTTGACTAAAGTCTTAACCTCTTTTTTTTTCCCTTTTTTTTTTTTTTTTTTCCTGATTTCCCTTTGCTGCATTAGCTCTGACACCCAGGGAAATTATAATGTAATTAAAAAAATCTTATTTCCCTGGGAAACCTTGTATATATTTTTAGTTTCATGTTTTAATACTGGTTTAAGGAATGGGATTGTGGAGCCCAGGCTCTGGGACCCTGATTTGAGAGAGAACTCTGATATCCAGTAGGTCTCATGCTGCAGTGGAGGCACCACAAAACTGATCTTCCCTCCTAGAGTAAACCTAAGGCATCAGACATAATCTTCATGCAGAAAACATGGCACTATATGCTTGTAAAATTAGCCAGTTCAGAAAAGCACAAGGGGCCCTAAGGTTTGACAGGTGACCTGTGATAGTACTTACAGATGTACAGGGCTTGGGACCTCTTCCATGGATAAGATGGCTTTGTTCAAAAAGCTTTGTGAAAGTTTGTGTGATCACTAGCAGTGAATTGATGTTTTATGGAAGGAAGGATGGTGGCTCAAGTTAAGAGTATATGATTTCAACACTGGTGTTCTGTCTTTGTTACTAATATCCCATCCAAGAGACAAGCTGTCTTGAAGCTTTTATGTAGCGAGTGTTGAGCCTTTTGATAGGAATTGTGTTATCTGTGATGCTTAAATGTGGTTTTTTTTGACAGATTTTATCAATACTGTCATGTTTTCACTTCAATGTATTGGCAGAAACATCCTTCTCAGCTTCTAATGGTCCAGGAGGCTAGATGTAGCAGTCTGGAAAGTGGTATTGTGAAGGTGTGTGAAAATACCAATTGCATCTGGAAAGGTATGTTCCAATGTAACGAATGTTGTCATGCACACTGAACAGTAAGATACAGCTGGCTGCATCTGTACTGGAAAACAAGTATATCTCCCTTTTCCAGCAAGTGTTACAGACTAATACAGAGTGGCTGTGATCTCACTGCTCTGGTTGAGGCTACTTCTAGAGTTCCCACAACCTGTGGAGAGCTCGTACTCCCTCTCCTCCAGTGTTGTTGAACCCTAGTACTTTACCTGGCTCTCCTTTGGGCTTTGTCTGACACATCGGTGACACTAAACATTAATTTCCTTTTGGCTTTTCAGTTTCAGAGCCTTACAAATAAAGTGGGGTTATGCTGCAGAATGGGCACAGAATATGTATCATATGGACTCTTTGGTACATGAGAATGGAAGACATGCAAAGGTGGTGGGGTCTTGTTGCTCCTAACTAAAGGGAAAGGTAGCTGGAGCAGTCTGTCTTTAGCACTGCCTCTGGTTTATTCTGCAGGAGAGTTATTTAATTTGCTCCAAAAGATTATCCTAGGAATGACTGAGTGTAAGGGAGTGTGAATGATCTGGCAATTTGAAAACAGGGGGGATATGGGGAGCTATAACCCGTGAAATTACACAGACATTCCCAGAGTTACTTGAATATGAGGCAGTTCATTAAACATCATATTTTGTTGTTTTTTGTCTTGGACAAATGGTTTGTTTTGGTGATCAGGCTGTTTCTGTGTATTCTGGGTTTGTGCATGCCAGGGCTGATTCATGCTCATGTGAAAACACTGAGAAGCAACTTCTTTATTAATCTGGAGTTCAGCTCCTGTAGAAGATGTTGGGGTCTGTGTGATTGTCTTGTGTTCCTTTGTTGCTTTTCTCCATGCAAATGGGACTTATTTCAGAGCAATCAATAGCAACAGTGTAGCGATTAATCACAGTGTTTTTTTTTCTTGATGGCAAATTAACATAGGTATCAGAAATACTGAGTTTTATTCCACCCACTTACTTGTTGATGAAGTGGTCTGGTGTGACAGTACTGACAACTTAACCACTTCCTGAGTCTCATTTTGAGACATGACACAGGCATATGAGAGCTGAACTTCTATCAAAAGTCAGAGATACCTGCTATTACCCAAGCAAAATAATGCAAAATGGTGTAATTAACCTTAATTTCCACTAATTAAAAAGCTTGTTATGCACATTTGTGTATCTATGAAGTATGTGAATAGAGCTGAAAATGTGGTCAGTATGAATTTGGGGTAGATTAATTATGAGATAAAAGAAATCTGGAGTGAGTTACAGCAATGATTTAATCCTTTATATCTCACTGTTAAATACCAGCTACCAATGTTAAAGAAGAAAAACATTTTCAGAGTGTTTCAGAAATGTTTTCATTCATCCAACTGTTACAGTTAGGCAGCTTAGTTTTCCTGAATTATCTTGCTTGGCTGGGTTCAGAAAAGTTTGGTAAAGTTTTAAAAAAACAAACCCAAATATATAGGTATTAGAAATACAGAATTTTCTGTACAGAGAAATCTCGTTTCAGTAATATTAGACTCTTTTGGGTATAAAATGCAGTGGTACATATCACATTGGGCAGATCTGAGATGGTTGCCCACTTGATTGTTTTAACTCCATGAAGTTTTAGATACAAAAGAAAATAACTGTGGCCTTCCCTTGCTCATCTTCTGTCTTTATTTGGAGAGAGATAACCACCACAGCTGAATGGGGAAACATTTGTTGTCTGGCCAAAAATAAGTTTAGATTAGGGGATAAGATTTAGGACAGAGTAGGGAATGACTGTGTGAAATAAGTTCTCCAGATTTTTCATTGGACTTCCATATAGGATGCTTGTATGTGTGTTTAAGTTACAGAGCACAAAAACTTTGCCAGTGCTGAATATTTAGGAACATAGAAGGTTAGTTGGACAGATAAGTGATGTCTTCTGTCCCTTAAACTTTTGATATTTGCTCTAGGTGCTCCTTTCTGTAAAATAATTAAAAAATAAAGTCAAAACAGAGAAAGTATAGACATGAATCTCCAGCTTTCTGCTCTGCGCATTACAGCAAAATATTTCCTTACACATAAATATCTAGCATTACATGATTCATATTGCTAATGAGCTGGCCTTTTTCTGTGATGTTGAGAAGTCCTTACTGAATAATGCAGACAATGACCACAAAGGATGACTCTTCTGCTTGCTCATATTTTATTTGCTTTTTTTTCTCATGTATGCGTTGTCACAAACTCAGTGTGCTGTGATCAAAGGGTGTGTGCTTTAAAACCCTTTTCCTGTGTTTAGGTATTGATGGGGGAGATCTTTTGGTGGGGGATTAACACCAGAAAGCAAAAAAAAATTAATTGCTGTGTGAGGGGGTTTTGAAGTGGGAGAGCCTATATGAAACATACTGTTACTAAGAATGTACAACAGAAAGCTAAGGCAAAAAGGACAAAAAAACTCATGTTCTGTGTTGAGCTGTGGTACAATTTAAACAAAATATTGTGGAGCCTATTCTCTGTTCTAGGTGACTGAAAACATGTAGGTTTGAAAGAGGTGGTATAAGGTGTTTAGTGTTTTGAGCCTACCCAGGATAAATTAGATCATTTGGGCCTCTTCTTGACCATGGAGAGACAAATATAGTGAGAATGTGAATGACTTAGATCTGAGAAAAACTGGTGGTGTTTTACATTACTGATTTGTGTGTGATGAATCTTCAAATACAGGATGCCGAGGGGGGCCCCAAAGTGAGTTTAGAGCTGTTACCATCATGAAGCCTTCCATGCCATTGGAGCCAGAAGTGAAACTTCATATTAGTGGCTTGCGCAATGATTACTGTAAGTTTATTTGTCTTGTGTGGTGGTTTTTGCAGAGACTGGGAATTCTTGTGTATGTTTCAAGAAGATGGTGAAGGTTGGTCACTTGTCGCATAAAATGGAAGCTCTGCAGGATATATGCTTGATGCCATTTTTCTTTTAAGGATGCATTTTTGAAAACTGCCTGTCCCAGTTTTCAAACTGATCAAATCCTAGAATCTGTACTAGCTAACTCTCACCTGGTTTCCTTCAGTTATAGATTTCAATACAATATGGCCCATTGCCCCAGCCTGTCCAGGTCCTCCTGCAGCTTCTTCCTGCCCTCCAGCAGATCAACACTCCCCCCAGCTTGGTGTCATCTGCAAACTTTGAGGGTGGACACTCAATCCCCACATCCAGGTCATCAAGAAAGTTGTTAAATAGGACTGGGCCCAGTACTGATCCCTGGGGGACACCACTGGTCACCAGACACCAGCTGAATGCAGCTCCATTCACCATCACTCGGGCTCTGGGCCACCCAGCCAGTTTTTACCCCAGCAAAGGGGGCACCTGTCCAAGCCATGGGCTGCCAGCTTCTCCAGGAGGATACTGTGGGAGACTGTGTCAGAGTCCTTGGCTGAAGTCAAGGTAGAACCACATCCACAGCCTTCCCCTCATCCACTAGGCAGCTCACTCAGTCATAGAAGGAGATGAGATTGGTTAGGCAGGACCTTCTTTTCCTAAACCCATGTTGGCTGGACCTGATCCCCTGGTTGTCTTCTACATGCCGCTTGATGGCCCTCAGGATGATCTGTTCCATAATCTTGCCAGGCAGGTAGGTCAGGCTGACAGGCCTATAGTTCCCTGGATCCTCCTTCCAGCCCTTCTTGTGGATGGGCATTATGTTTGCCAAACTCCAGTCATCTGGGACCTCCCCAGTCAGCCAGTACTGGTGATAAATGATGGAGAGCAGCTTGGCCAGTTCTTCCACCAGACTCCCCAGGACCCTAGGATGAAGCCCATTCGGATCCATGGACTTGTTGGGATCTAAGTGACACAGCAGGTCCCTAACTACTTCCTCCTGGATTACAGGAGGGGGGTTCTGCTCCCCATCCCTGTCAACCAACTCAGGAGCCCAGTTGTCCTGAGGGTAGCAATTGTTTCTGTTAAAGGCTGAGGCAAAGAAGGTGTTAAGAACCTCAGTGTTCTCCTTGTCCTCCATTACTAAGTTTTCCCCCCCCCCATCCAATAAGGAATAAAGATTTTCCCTGACCCTCCTTTTGTTATTAATGTATTTATAAAAGCATTTTTTATTATCCTTTATAGAGATTGATAGTTTAAGTTCTAGCTGAGCTTTGGATCTCTAATTCTCTTTCTACATGCCCTTACAATATCCTTGAATACTTCTTGATTCACCTGCCCCTTTTTCCAGAGTTGACACACTCTTTTTTTTTATTTCTGAGTTCTTGCAGTAGTTCCCTGCTCAACCAGGCCAGTCTTCTTCCCCACCGGCTGCTTTTCTGGCACACAGGGACAAGCCTGCTCCTGTTTCTTCATCATTGCATTCTTAGAGTAAGCCCAGCCTCCCTAGGCTCCTAGGCATAAGTCTATCCAGTTAGATGATGTCAGTTGTTCTAATGCTGTGGCATCCTTGTAAAGGGTCACCAGATTTTTCAGGTACAGTTTCCCCTTGATGAAGCCAGGTTGGTTGCTATCAACCTCCACATTTTCTGTACGCTTTAGCAGAGCTCCAGGAAGATCAGCTCCGTGATCTTGCCAGGCACAGAGAAGAGACTGAGCAGTCCGTAGATCTCCAAATCTTCCTTTTTTCCATTTTTTGAAAATGGGGATTATGTTTCCCCTTTTCCAGTCCATGGGAACTTCACCAGGCTGCTGTGACTTTTCAAATATGGTGGAAAGCGGCTTTGCACCTTAATCTGACAGTTTTCTCAGGAGCCGTGGATGGATCTCATCAGGTCCCACGGACTTTCACATTCTCAGGTTCTTTTGATAGTCTCAAACCTATTCTGCTACAGTGGGGGGATATTCCTTCTCCCAGTCTCTGCCTCTGCCTTCTGCCTTCTGCAACTTGGATGGTGTGGGTAGAGGTTATTTTTGCGCCTCAGCCTTCTCCATATCCTACATGATCCCTTTCTGCATTTTTTTTCTATCATGTGCAGGGTAAATGTAATTAACCCAAGGATGCAGGACAACCTGTAACATATTGAATCTCTCCTATGTCTTCCTCAATAACAAGAATTACTGTGGAACAAGGCTGATTCTGGAACTGTAGCTGTTAAAGGAGGGTCCTCATTTCTGGTGGCAGAAATTAGAATGAGTGATGTGGTGATCCAAAGTGGAGGGTGATAGATTTGAAAATTTTTGTGGGGTTGCTGTAAGTCAGATCCTGCTGTGCAAACTTATAGTCTGTGGAGATTAGTCTTATGAAGTCCTTGGCTTGTTAGAGATATTGTCCATCATGTAGGAGGAATACTTCCTAGTACGATTTCATACAAGCATTCACTTCAAATTTTTCCACAGCTATTAAACAAAGAAGACTCTCTCCCCCAAACCATACTCCCCTTATCCCATTCTATTTTTTTTTAATTTTTTTTTTAGTAATTTTTAATGGCTTTTTTCTAGATCTAAACATACTGGACTGGAGCCTTGAAAATCTCATTGCTATTGCTGTAGGACCTGCTGCACACATCTGGAATGGAGGAACTCTTCAAGCCATTGAAAGCATTGACTTGAATTCTAGTTCCAAATACATTTCATCTCTGGCTTGGATAAAAGAAGGAACTTGCCTTGCAATTGGCACCAGTGATGGTGAAGTGCAAGTACTAGATAATTTATTTTTCTAGTCTTTCTCCATTTTTAGATAGAGTGGCTACAAGAAAACTTTTATTAATTTTATTACTTTAAGGAAACAAATTTAAAAATTGGCTAAACTATAGAAAAACTCTTCAGGAGACAATTGATAGCACCTCCTTGTATCATTCTGCATCTTTCTGAATGGTTTTGTGACATCGAGTGATATATATATGTTGTAGAGCCTCTGAAGAAACTAAAAACTGATGACTGAATTAATGATTCAGTTGTCCAGAGGCAATCAGATATTTTTTTTTCACCAGTAAGAGGAATTATTTCATTAAATTATTTTACTCAGGACAGGCTATTTTTTCTTCTCTCTTGCTAATATCACTCTAGCCAAAACTCTCCTGGTGGGTTCACAGACAAGAATTTTACTTTGGTCTGACTATACACATACCTGTCAGCCTGCTGTTATAGGACAGCCCTATTACCAAAACATTTCTGTGGGACTTTGGGTGAGATGCTTGGTAATACAGGGACCTACCCACTGCAGTCCTGAGTCAGCCATCTGAAGGTACTGAAGACCAGTGCTTTCAAGTATGTACTTCCAAATACTGACGTGTAAATTAATAATTTTAGAGATATGTATTCCCTTCAATCCTGTCTGACTTCAGCATCACTGATACAGGTGCCAAAATCTGGAAATACTCCTTGTCTTACTTGTGAAATAAATGATCTTGAGGTTGTCCATATGTCAGCTCAGAACTGGGCAGTGGCTTACTTGCAAACAAATAATGAGAAAAAAAATAATAATATTTTTTTTGTTTAATTTGTATTTTTTATTTGTTTTGGGTTGGCAGCTGTGGGACATTGAAACCAAAAAGAGACTGAGAAATATGTTTGGTCACCTCTCTGTAGTTGGAGCTCTGAGCTGGAATCATTATATTCTAAGTAGGTGAGTGGTATAGTATATTCTCAGAAAGAGCCCTGCTGCTTTTACTTAGACAAATCCCCGTTTGCTTTTGCTGTTTTCATTGGCTTTGCTCAAAGGTGATTTATCCTTCCTCTCTACTTATCGGCCGTCTCAGAAGTCACGTGTAGATGTAGTGTGTGGTAGGAAAGCAGCCAAAGGGGATTTAGCCTGCCTCTTTAGTTTCTGTTTCCTAATTTCCTTCCAGAAAGCTGTCATCTCTTGCAGAATTTCATTAGGATGTGGAGGCTGTAGCTCTTGTACAAAGCTTGAGCTTGAAATGGTGTTTTTTGCAGTGGGTCTGCGACTCCCATGGTCATAGCCTTGGTGCTGGGGAGAGGGCATGCCCCTCCACTGATAAAAAACCGCATCTGTCTTTTCAGATGCACAGTGAAGCACAGCTGATAAGAGTTGCACACCCCTCTCTCTAGCTCTTTATCTACAAGGCCAGCTCATTGTTATCCACAACCCCAGGAGGACTGAAGTGGTTGACCTTTGATTTGCCAAGGGTGAATTCTACACTAGTTGTTTAGTATTTTACACTTAGAAATTATTTCAGTATGGGTACTCAGATGAGAAAGATCAAGTGTCCTCTCTCGTGGTTTTTTCCTCCTGCTTTCTTTCAGATCTGTAGCTCAGACTCGAAGGAGCTGAGGGGAGACTTTATGATGGATGCCTTGATGATTAAAAAAAAATGTGATAGTCTTCTGTTGTACTTAAACACAGAAATAATAGCAGGGGTAGACTGACTTTAAGCTTAGACTCAAAATGAAACTTGTATCTCTGGACATAAACACTAGATGTAGTTTTATTTGATTTCACAAGATGGTGTTTGGCTTTTAGGTCTGCTGGGTGGAGTAAGGTACAAGGATACCAGCTGAAAAAACAGTTGAGAAAATGCCGTTGCCAGAGTAGGTAGGCTGAGTGTATTAAATTACAAGGATGCAGCTAGAGCATCCTGCCAATGCCAAGTCTCAAAACCATATTACAGTAAGCATTTCTTTTAATTTGCATTTCAGCTGGGCCAAAAGAGTGAAAACAACAGAAACTTACAGATCTGCGTAGAATGTGATGATAAAATGAAGCAGGAACCTGTGAACTACAGTTATTAGGTTGAGTTAACAGTTGATTCTAACATTAGGGCAGAGTTCAAATATGTATATAAGAAGCAAAAAGACATTATTTGTTATTATTAAAATATGAGCAGCATTCTAACAGTAAACTTCACTGTGGATAATCGATACTTTGGGATTACATACTGATTTCTATGGTTAAAAATAGTCCAGTACATAATCATGAACCTGTGAATAAATTTCAGTACCATAAATTAACCTATCACAAAAATTCTGTTGACTTGTCTTTAGCAAAACAGATGCCATCTTCTGTGTGAAAAGCAAATAGTTCTTCTTTCTTTTTATGCCAAGTGGAAAGTTTCTTTTCAGGCAGGATTCTCAGGAGCCCAGTTCCTTCTCACTCATACCACTAGAATTACTGAAAACTTTAATATGGCCAACATTGACAATCCAATTCTGTTTCTCTTGGATAGATTTTCTGCTTATTATTTAGTAGGAAAAACTGATACAAGTCTTCAGGAGACAAGTGATAATTCCATTGCATATAATGCACATTTTCCCATGTGTCTTCATAGATTTTTCCATAAAGATGTGCCTCATATTCACCAGAGCACTACTCGGATGGGATCTGTCAGACTTTTGTGAACTTCAAGAGTTTGGCAAGTCCGTAATACAAGCACAATAGAATTACATTTATTGACACCAGTCAGTTTTGTATGTGCTTTTTTTAAGCTTCCAAATCACTCAAGATACTAAGAGTCAGTGTAGGAAAGTCTCCCGTCATTGTTCCCTTGAATTAATTTATTACAGCAATGTCAAGTGTCTGTTTCACAGATACCCGGAAGGGTGTTATTGGACTTGCTGTTTTTTATAGTGTCATCAGAATAGTTGGCAGTGTGAATTTCTAGCAGGAAGCTCCTCTGGTTTGTCCTGAGTTTAATGTAGGTAATATCCTTGGTAGGGAAGGGAAGGAAAATGCATGGCAAAGTGTTTCCCGTATTTTCCGTTTAACTCTACTATTGATTTTTAAAACCTACATCCAGGAGCTAAACTGTAACAGTAGCTGTGCTTCCAGGCAGAGTATTTCTTCCTTCCTTTAGTAGACTGATTATACTGGCTTTAGAACCACAAATCCATTTCCTAACAGACAGTTAGTGCGACAGTGTCAAGCAGTGCAGATTTTGTTTAAGCCTGGAAATGAGATAGAGAAAGGGGACAAGGGAGGGGACAGAACCAAGGAAAACACTGGTACCTGCTAGTAAGAACTTTCAAGAGCAATTGAGTTTTATACTGTCTCTTTCTGGGGCATGGAGTCGTATGTGGCCTAGGCAAAAATCATCTTATAAAACCATTTTTCGTGAAGAACAGGAAGCGCTTACATTAAATGACGGGAGGGTTGAGCAGGGTGCAGATTAGTGGCATATGATGCAATATACCTTCAGGGAAATTATGAGAGAGAATGGGTATTCTGCCTCACTTGAACTGAGCAGCTGCTTGGCTCTTTTCTATTGTCAGCCAGCTTTATAGTCAAGGTGTGCATTTGATAGGTGGTTTGTGTTTCCTTTTACTGTAATATCATTGTTCTGCATGCATTTTTCGCTCTGATGTGGTTTGCTTCTGAAAACACTGAATAAGCTTCAGAGTGATTATGCAGTTTGTCATCTTTAACAATAAACCCATATTGTCTTTTCTTACCTGCAGTGGTTCAAGATTAGGATCTATTCATCACCATGATGTTCGGGTTGCTCAGCACCATGTTGGGACTCTTTGCCAAAACAAACAGAGCATTTGCAGCCTGAAATGGTCACTAATCAACCAGTTGCTGGCAAGCGGGTCAAGTGATGGTATATTGAATATCTGGCCTAGTGATCCTGGTGGGACATTGCAGTCAAAGCCACTGAAAACCATACCTCATTCTTCAGCAGTTAAGGTGTATAGAGAAGTAATACCTGCTTTTCTGTATTTGCTGCCATGAAATCATTGATGCTATGAACTTAGGGAATTTAGCAAATTATCTAATTAATTTCTGTTCATTTCTTCACCCTTGTCTGTGATGCAGTTGGTTTTAAGACCAGTTCTCCTCATTCTAAGTCACAGATAAGTTTGCTAGACTTTTGATTAGGAATTGTAACTGGATTAGTAGGGCTTTGTAAATATAGTGCCAAATAGAAATAAAATTTATAATCCTCTCTTCTGTTTTGCACAGAAAACTTTTGTGGTGCAATACTTGCAAGTTAAGAAACAAAATATTTTGCTTTTTCGAGTTTGTAAAATTCCTTTGTTTAAGTTATTTTTGTGCCATTAAGATGTGTCACTGCTGGTATCAAAGTATCTGAAGTAAGAAATTGGAAAGGAGGCAACTTTAATTCTTCATCTTTATCAAGTTTTAGTCTGTGTGGGAGGGGGACAAGTATCATCAATAAGGGGCAGGGGAGTCCAGCATTTGTAAGCTGTTTATCCTCCCAGAAAAATCTGAGTCTGACCTGAAGCAGTGGTGTTGAAGGGTTAGAGTAGGTTATTTAAATAAGTGAAATTCAATTCTTAATAGCTTTTCTTCAGCTACAGTCTAGGCGTTAGCATATCCTGGAGATGTCTCAGAATAAACCAGGTGTCTGGTAAGTCATGTTGTTTAGGCTTCTGTGATGGCTTGGCCTTGGCACTAAGAATGTATCCTGCTGGGTTCTTCTAGTAATGAGGTGTGAGTCTGTGGCCTGTGAAGGGTAAGCAGAGAAACTGGAGTTTTATGAACTTCTGTGGACAGTGTAGGCTACTGTGAAGCAATGGCAATGAAAGCAGCATTTGATGTTTTGGGATTTTTCACTGCTGTATGTATATTCCAACTAAGCTTTTAAGCAAAACATACTCTTTTCTTTCTCCTAGTTTTTTGTTTGTTTGTTTTGGTTTTTTTTAGGCTGTGAACTGGTGTCCTTGGCAGTCCAAAGTCCTTGCTACAGGGGGTGGAATGAAAGATGGGATTTTGCGTGTCTGGGACATAAATCGTGAGAAAATAATCCAAAGTACAGCTACAGACTCTCAGGTGAAATGAGGAAATGTTTGCATACTTAGGCTATGCTCTTCTTGTATAGCTGTGCTCATTTGGCAAACTCCCACTGACTTTGAGGGTGGTTCTGCGGTCAGAGGAACAGCAGGATTTTCTCTGGATGTGCAGTTGTGCTTCATTCAGCACTGCAGTGTGTGACTCGATGCAAAAGCAGTTTGTTGTTTCTCATTCACCACTTCTGTCTCCACATAGAAGTGATCAAAGAGGAGGTGGTCTCCCAGCCAGACACTCCTCACCATCTTTTCCTTATTGGCAGTAAATTTTGGCCAAAACTCATAATGTGAAGAGAATGTTGAGTGCTGGAGTGCTGGGTTCAGGAGAGGTTTAAGAGTCAGAGGGCAAACATCCATCTCTGGAGTTTGAATATTTGGAGACAGAGGAACAGGTTCTCTGCTGGGAAGAAGCAGCATAGCTGTTGATTTTCCTGGAGCTATTACAACTTAGCTGAGGATGTGTTGGAGGGGCTTTGATTTTATACTGATCGGCCATTATCACATTTGCACAGAACAATAAGACAACTGTGCTTCAAAGCATTGTAAGGAATGAAATGATCCTTCTAAATAAATAAATATTCTGCTGGCACTATTTTTCAGTACCTTGTTTAAACATTATAGGTAGCATTTTAAATCTACCGAATGGGGCATGTTGACACTTTCTGAAAACTAAAACAGAATTTTAAATTGCAATAGATTTGTTCATTGCTCTGGTTACCCAAAACCAGTGAACTGATGACTGGACAAGGTCTTCCGGGAAATCAGATGAAAATATGGACATATCCCATGCTTATGAATTCATCAGAACTCTATGGCAAGTATTTCAGTTAATAGTTAGAAATGTTTAAGTTAACTATCTGCCTAATCAGTGTGTTTTTGCGAGTTCATATGTTATACATGTACATAAAATGTAGATAAAAGAGCCGACACCTACACTTCCTCGTTCTGCCTACACACATGCATTTGTTCATGCACACAATTCTGATGTATGGGATTGTAAAGGTTGACTTATTAAGATAATAATATAAGTTGCTTCTGTAAAATTCCTTGGTTTCAGTGATAAGATTCTCTGATATTTTCTAAGGCCATTCCAGGTGTAAGATGTAGATTTTCACTTCTCCCTAGGGCTTGCTAGTCATGAACTGTGTGTGCTAATGTCTGGTTGTTGCCAATATATTCTAGGCTGGTGGCCTTCTAGATAACTCAAACTAGATATAGCTCTTCAGTTTTATAGTTCATAATGGAAGGATATTAAACCAGCTTCCTAATGATCTTTGAAATATCCGTCTGTTATTTAGAGCTGTCTGGGTTTTAATTAGTTATTTTGACTGTGGAGCAATGCAGTGCAGCATGTTTTCTTTAGGCTGTGCTGACAGCTAGAGAAGGTGTTTTCATGCAGCTCTGTATTGGTCTGTGGAGCTGTGGGCTACACTACACATGAAAGTTGTTCCATGCTATTAAGACTTTTAATTTCTGATGCTTGCTGTCACTCACGTCTGTTAAGTTTTGTTTGTTTCACTGCTAACTGAAGTGATCCAAAAGAAGCATCTGAAATTAAAAGAAAAAACAAATTACTTGCATACTGGCTGAATTTTCACAAGTATAGTTGTTTTTTCACACTCATTGACAAGGTAGGGCCAAAGAAGCTTTGGATTTTTAACCCAACAGTTGGTATCTAGAAATATTTTTGATACCCTATTGCTACATTTTAATGCATTTACTGAACTCCTGATTTATTAAATCCCAGCTATTCTGGGATGTTGTCCTCGGGCCAGCAACTTGGGTGGAATCAAGGGCTTCAACATCAGCCTATAAGAGGAAAGCACAGGAGAGGCAAAAACAGATGGTCAGAAGAGAGAAGGCAGCAGAGCTGTATGTGGATCTGGTTACACATTATCCTTGTGTAATGCTGCTTCTCTGTGCTGCTTTTCATTCCTCATCCCTGCTAATTTAGGTATAGTTCTTAAGGTCATGTCCTGTGGTGTTCTGAAAAATGGTCTGGAAAGTGACGTGATCATTAACTACCGTAGTTTGAGGTTTCTCAAATCTCTGCAAGTCTTGAATGTATTATTTGAAAAGAAACCTAGATTTATGTTTGAAAATAGCGTGTGGCATAAAGCATTTACCATGTAAGTCAAATGCATTGTTAATTTGGTGAAGCTAGAGGGTTACTGTTTCGTATTCAGTTTACCAATTCATTTTCATGAACAAAAAGACCAGATAATTGTTATACATATATATTCCTGCTTATGAAAGCTCTCGTTACCTTACTATAAGCTATTTAATGTTGGAAGAAGTTGTCAGTGTATCAACATACGTTCAGAAAAATACTGTGTTGGATGACTGTGAGATGGTTCTAAATCAGCCTCAGACACCATTAACCACATGAGTTTTACACCGAAAGAAATGAGCAGATAGATTGTAACTGAATCTCATTTAATCCTCCTGCAAAATGCTGGGGTCCTCAGCTAACAATGAGGCACTGTTAGTTACGCTTGAGTATTTTAGTAATTGAGGTTGCCTATTACTGAGCATATTCAGAACAGAACAACAGCTGAAAGACAGCAACCTTTTTATAGCACTGAATCAATGTTTGAGATTCTTCTAGTAAAACAGAGTAATTTACTAGATAAAAAAAAAATTAATTTAAGATGTAAATTTGCATCCCTTCAGAAAGTTTTTGTAGATCAAAGAAAACATACCAGCTAACAAAATATGTAATTGCTTTAAAACATGTCTGGGTGTGAACTTAAAACAATGAAATAAAACCCTAGGCTTCTCCACTCAGAAAACATGAAAATGAGTAATTTCAACTTTTCTGATTTCTCCTTATCCCCTTTGAGCCTTTTTGACTGAAACTACTAATTAGATTTGAGTCAGTGTTGTGGATAGATTTGAATGTCTCCAAAGGCTACATCTCCAGCTTTCCTTCAAAGTTATTACTGAATGGAGACAGTATAAAGAATTCACTGGGTTGTAAACTTGTGGTCTTAAATATCGACAAAGATCATGTACCATTCAATAACTTGAAAAGGAGCAAAACCTGCAAAATAATCACTGCTGAAATTATTTGTTACTAGTGATCAAGTTCAAGTGGGACATGTTATTTTGAGCTAGAGAAGTACTATCTTCATCGTGTTCATGGAGAAGTCAGATACAGATGATGGGAGGACGTAGGTTACCCACAACTTCATTTGAGTTGGTCACCCAAGCCTTCCTTCACACCTTCACACTTAAGATGTGGTTGATCTGTTCTCTTTTATATGAGTTAAGCTATTTCTCAGAAGTTTCTTTTTTCCCCCTTGGTTGACTCATTCAGCAACACAATTGTCAGTAACTCACTCAACCAGAGAAGCTAATGGCCAGTAACTTAGAGTAAAAAGGTGTCTGATTTCTCAAGCGTCTGTGTACCTGAAAACCTCATGCGTTTGCTTAGTGTTGGCATTGTGCTAGATGATACAGGAGAGCAGTGGTCAGTACAGGTCTGAACAGTCTCAGTTTAATACCAGACTCTTTCTGCCTTCAGTTCCTTCTACTGATACTTGAATAACCAGGTTAATAACTATTTTTTACATTTTTTTGGCTGCTAAATGGGGGTAATGTCTGGCTTCCAAAGTTTACTATAATTACAGAAAAGCACAATATACACTTCCAATAAATTATTTGGTGGGATCACTGTTAAAAGATCTCCTTAACAATAATAACTGAGAAGCTGGAGACACTATCTCATGGTTGTTGGATCAGCTGCAAGCTGTCTGCAAGGCATGTGCAGCCAAATGGGAAAGCTTAGCAGTGAGACACATTGCCAAACACAGATGTACTGATGTAAATGCAGTGGAGAATCAAGAGTTCAGGTTCCATGTTCTCCTTTGAAAGAATTGTCTTCTCAATGTGGTACAGTCCCAACAATTAAGAAGCAATTGCTTTCAGCTCTTTTCAGTATGAAAATATCCTGTAGGTAATATCAGCTCCACAAATCCTTAGCAGCATTTTGAGCTGCTATAGTAAAAGTGGAGCAAACCATGTTGTGGGTGGGGGTGGTGAAGGTGACTGGCATAATCAGTGTAGAACTGTGATGTATCTTGCAATCTTTGTATGTATTTTGTTTTACAGGTCACAAAGGGAGAGTCCTGCATATAGCGCTGAGTCCAGATCAGAGCAGGCTTTTTTCTGTTTCAGCTGATGGGATAGCTTGTCTGTGGAAGTGCCATGAGTATGGGGAGAGCAAGCACAGCAGCAAAGCATTTTCTAATGGTTATCTGAACTAATTCTTGTGACTTCTTTTCCCTGAAAGCAGGTGATTAAAATAACTTAGCCCTTTCAATATTTCAAGGTGTGTGTGTTATGTGTGTTCTTCCAATGGAAACAAGACAAAAGGTAGTAATTTTTTCAAGAGAAAGCAATTTTCTCCATCAGTCCATCATGTGAAATCTTATTAGGCTGTCTTACTTACCCTAGAGGAAAAATATTCTAACTCTGAACAATAACACCATATTTATTTGTGTTAAACTACTGGCATGGATGAAATCCGGTTTGTGTCAAGTGCCAGCATAAATTCTTAGGTTCTGCTTGTATCTAGGATTCTTGTAAGTAATTTACATCATCTTAGGGTTCCCACTGGTAACCACATGCCAATTTGTGTAAATTGCTTTTGATCATTCAAATGCTAGGATCAGCAGGGACCAGGTCAGGAGACTGTAGTGCTCTGTCTATCACTTCATGATACAGAATCTGTCTAAATATTTCTAAAGATCTAGGTTAAACATATAATTGTAACCAAATAGAAAAGATTTCTTGGGAGTTCTTTATTGTTTTTGTAGTGGTAATGATGACCATCTTAATTAGAAAACTGTCTTTATTGAATTTTGAATTGTTTTGTTTTCTTAAACCCACCTACTGTGTTTGACAATGATTGAAAATGTAATTGATAATTCTTTTATTCTACATAGTTATATAATCAAGTGGACATAGATGGACACAGAGAAGCATGCTGTTTGGACCAAGCAGTTGGTTTATTCATTCCTTCAGTGTACCAGTTCAATTCTGAGTGTCAGCAAACCTGGCAGCTTTCATCCTGTTACAGATTTTATTTAGTGCTCACAAGGACCAAACTTCTTGGACTCTTTAACAGACATTTGCCTGTGTAAGGCTTGTGCACTCTCAGCAGCTAAGTAAGGATGGCAGGCTTGGTCTTCAGATGTTATTCTGATGTTACTCAGTAGTGCTATTGAAAGTATGTTCTATTCACAGACATCTTCGGAGCTTTGCTATTGTTTAGGAATGAGGAGAGGCAGGGTGTTAGGACTCACTCTTGCATTTGTATATTAAAAGCCCTGTGAACTCAGAAACTCATATTGCTTGAATTTCTTTTGTGTGGGTTTTTGTGGGTTTTTTTTGTTTAATTCTGCTGGAAATTTATTTAGAGCATTTCTTGTATCTGGGGGAGAATGGTAGATTAGGGGAGTAGAACAGTGTCAGCCCATGGAAATTTAAGCTGTGATTGAATGTATGAAAAGAGATAGGCAAAGTTAATGGGGGTACAAGTATCTCTGGAAATGAATGTGAAACTGTCATATCTTTGGTTCTCATAATGTTTAAAGCCTCATCTTCTACTGTTCATAAATCACGTGGTTGCTAATTTAGGTCTGCAAGGTTAAGACCACTCATCTTTTTTACCTAGTAATGTGCTAACTTACAATAAGTCTGCCACTAAGCTGCTGGTTTCTGGTGTCATCTTGTGTGGTCTTCAGAACAGATTAGAAAATAGAAATGTTGATTATTGATGAGAAATTACTCTGAGAAGCTCATGCCTAAGAATGGGAAATAATTTATATTGTGCCTGTCTTCTCATATGAGCATATTTGTTGCAGCAGATTTTATAAAACATTTGGAATCTAATTTAAATAATCCAAATAGTATCTTCAATAATAATAATTAAAAAAAAGTTAAAAACGTTTTTTTTCTCTCTCTTGAATGGGAAAAAAGCAGTGGAATTATCTTCTTTACTCATATGTGTTTGAATTCTCTCTTTTTTTTTATGGTACCTAAATGCTATTTCTTTTCCAAATACAGGAAGAGATGTAAAACACAGGATTATGTAAATGAGGGGCTGTGATGGGGAAGGAATTGGTCAATATTGAAGCCAAGCATATTTTGTTGGATGCTCAACTGTCAAAAAAAGAAAATACATTTCTTTCAGACTGAGAAACACTTGTTTCATAAGTAGTTATCCTTGTTCATTATTGAGTGATCGAGCTGTATTGTAGTATTTTAACATATCTAAAAATGAAAGAAGTCACTGATTTCAATAGAACTAACAACAGCCAACTCCCAACAGCTCTAATCTGTGACCATGTCTGAGAAAGCATTTAAACATGCATTTAAGCTCCAGATTGACTAACCTGGAGTGAAACTCTATGTCTACTGGAGTGATTTTTCTGCATGTGTTTCTTTTCTAGATAGGCTCTTTTGCTGCTGGTTTCTCTCACAAGGCAGACTTCAGTAATAAGAATTCAAAGACTTGAGTAGGCAGCTTGATTCTGCTTCACTAATCTTTTACAAGGTAATGCTGCTGAATACTTGCAGGTATAGAGTGTGCAGTGGCTGAAAGCAGGTAATTGTTCTTGTATAGCTGCCTTACTCTGACAGTGCAAAGGTCTTAACCTGCAAAGTCTTTGGCAAAATTTGAAATCCTGCCTTTCTCCCTGTAGAATATAGTGTGTTTTTACCTCATTGCCTGTATATGCCAGGTATATTGTTCAGGCCCAGACTAAGACAGAAATCAGAACCCATTTCTAAGAGGTCACCTTGTTCTGCTCCTGAGAACTGTATGCACTAAAGGCTGAGTCTTCTGAGATAGCACAGGATTAATTCAAATTTTCCTTGCCAAAACTCAGGCAGGCCTTCATCCCCACAGTCCTGTCCAAGGTGGAGCACTGTACAACATAGGGAATCCAAAACTTCAGGACAAAAATGCGTTTTTACTAGAGGAAAAAATTCATTGCCCATACAGACCACGTGTGTTCTCAGGTATACCGATATGACAGAGTGATTGTCTGTAATGCAAATAAATGTTTTAAAGAAACTCAGACTGGGGAATCCTTTTGTTTCTGCACCTTAATGTACTAGACCCTAGGAAACAATCCCCTGTTCTTCAGGCACTATAGCATCTGACTCGAGGATACCTACAGAAATGTTGCATTAGTTAGTGTAATGCAGATTATATCTGTTCATTTCCACCATTTTCCTCAACTAGCCACAGTGAGACAGAACTGTTACATTCAGAATGACACTGGATGATCATAACATTTTTCTTAACTAATACATAAACTTGTATGGGTTCCATCCCATAGTAGTGGAGCTGTATTTTGAATGGGTTAATGCCTCTGGATCAGAAAAAGTCCCCACCTTGATGAAATCTCAGTTCTATCTTCTTGCTCTTGCTTCTGCTTTTTTCCACAGGTTTCCACTACTGATAGGGGCGACAGAGGCTTGAATGTTTTGTTTACCATATAAGTCCAGTTTCACAGTTCACTAAATGATACTAATGTAAAGAAGTAAGGTTTTAAAGTATTTTGAGGCAGATCCTAAATTTAAAGCTTGCAGAGGAAGGCTTTACATTTTTCTTGCATATTTCTAAATGCGTTGTAAAATGCTGACTGATGATGGGATTTTCCTGTGACAAGGATGCTGCATGTGACTTTCAGGGAAGAGAAGGAAGCAGACCAAAGAGAATGCAGTAAGGTGAAAAAAAAAAACAACCAAAACTATAGCAGGATGAAAGAAATGCAGTGAAAAAAAAAAAAAAAAAAAAGAGGAAAGAAATTAAACGTGACATATATGGTAAGAGTGAGCCCTACATGATAACTTATCTTGAAGATTTTCACTAGATTGATAAGGATATTTTTGTTTTCTGAAGGTTTTTAGAATCAGTTGTATTCTGAAGAAAGGAGTGTGGAGTTGTCTTACTTTTCTTTCCTGTGTATTTACTGACTGCATCGGTCACTACTTTGAGTGTCAGTACCAGTCAGTAGGGCAAGTTCTTTTCTCAGTTTCACTAAAGAAATTTTACTTGGTAGGGAATCCTTCTCTCTGCTCTTGTTTTGCTTTGGTTTTTTTTGTGTGCAATTCCTTGTCTGTGTTTGGGTGTTTAGCCCAAGTGTTGGGACAAATATTTTAGGGATAAGAATGAGGAATGTGAAAAGTTCTCACTGTGAAAGGTTTGTAATGGGCAGAAAACATAAAATAAGATGTTCAGTGTCAAAGCTTTCAGTAAAGTTCCCTGTGGTTTAGAGCATCTCCCTCCTCACCCATCATTATTCCTCTGTGACAAAACGACAGTTTCTTCTTTACAAGATCAGGTGAAGGCAGTTGTATTAAAAAGTTTTAGTTTGTGTTTTCCTATATTGTGTTTCTAAGTGGTATTTAATTTAAAAAATGAATGCTTGGTCCACTGTGACCAATTAAAATCAGCGCAAGGTATCTCCACCGTTTGAATGTCCTTTGCTTTCTCTTGGCTCACATCTATTTCCAAGTAAAAAAATCTCCCAAACCAACAGAAAATAAAACCAAGCTCTTTTAGAGCTGTTTGTGTCATTGAAAATGCTCAAGACTGTTAATACAGAGATGGGCAGAAATATTTTTCACAAAGTGGTTGTTGAACCACTTAAAATTTTTACTGCATATCTGAAACAGCAGTGGCAGCATAATAAAAATGAATACTGTTTTATGTGATGAACAAGGCTTTATCATATGGGTATTCCAGCTGAGACATTTTTTGTCATTCTCTGTAGAACAGGTTTTCAGTTGATTTTTTAACATGATGTTGTTGATCTTTGTGCATTCTGCAGATATATTGCACATCCAAAACAGACTATCTGTACTGGTACAGATGGAGCTTTGCATATAAATTGACAGCTGCAAGCAGTAGATTTTTATTGCCTTTTCTTTATTAAATGCAAATTACATAAAGGTATGAAATCTGAAGGTTACAAATACAGGATGGTTAGGAAATTAGTGCTTATTACTCTCTACAATCAAATGCAGTTGAAATGTAACGTTTAGAAGCTTAGCAGTTACCTACACCTGTGAAATCAGGAGCTCTGCTGGGGAGAAACTAGCAAGCTTTTCAGGTGTCTGGAGTTTTACCTAACATCTCGCATGCTTTCAGGGTTATTTGCAGAAGTCCAGATACAAAGGAGTGCAGTACACTGTCATGATGCTGTGAGGACATAAAGAGCTAGATTAGATCCTTGATCAGAAATATTCA